ATTATACTGTTCAGCATCAAATGTGGTAAAACAACTGCCTAGAATAGACAAAACACTTCTCGAAAAACACTGATTTTAGGCAGTTGTTATACCACATTTGATGCTAAGTTGTTTGAAGACACCGCCGCGCTGCTCCTTGATTATATTGGAAATTATACTGTTCTATTTATATTTGAATGTGCGAGTAACTATTTATAGTTACGACCTTGTGTTTTTGTTCGGAACAGGATTTACAAGATTGTCGTGAAGTTAAAATATTCCATTACACAAAATGGCCGCACCATGGTGTACCACGGCACACAGAAAGCGTCGTTAATCTATTGTCATTGGTTGAAAATTCCTGGGAGAGTGATAATCAAGGACCAATAATTGTTGCATGCAGGTGACAATCTATATTTGATATTATTCAGTAACTCCCTACACTGCAAACTCTTTAACACTTAATGAGACTTTTTTCCTTTCTTTTAAGCTACGTTATCTTGCTTTAAGAACTATTTTTTTGGTATAATTTTTTTCTTAATACAAGGTTATTTGTCTTACTCAGAAAAAATAACTGCATGCCTTTCACAATGGCAAAATCTACTTTTAAGATTCTAATTGTATATATACTTAAAACTAGTATTTTTTGCTTGAAACAAGTTTTAGAAAAATTGCATGCAGTACGCGAGTTAGCTGGTGCTTCAGACTTCAATGTTCCAGAGGAATTATGAACACAAAGCACATGCCTAAAACTTTTATATCGTTTGTGTTTTAGTGATGGTGCTGGACGTACCGGAACATTCATTGCCATCTCAAACCTGCTTGAACGAATGAAAGTTGACCAGAAAGTTGATGTCTTTCAGGCAATTAAAATCATTAGAGGATCACGACCACAATTTGTTGAAAATTCGGTAAGAATATATTTTTTTCTCCTTGCTCCTCTTCAGGAGGGGAGGGCTATGCGCGTTAGTAAGCTAACAAACAATATCTACAAACGACAAATTATTATTTTTCCTGTAATGAATCCCTCCGCTCCGGTGTTACACTATGCAACGTGCTTTACTCAGTTGCAAGAGCACATATATATTGCAGCGGAATCGCAAAAGCGTAGTTTCGATTCCTGCCAGAGGACCTATATATGGTTGACTCATTTTTCCTTCAACTGTTCCTGGCTTGAATTTGAAGTGTGTATAATTAGTCCACTCGAAATTAGGACCCCTTAGTGTAAACCCTAGAATTTACGTGCATCGAGTGAAGTGCCAAAAATCAGAATCAATGGCGTAGGAAGCATCCAGAGGTTGGGGGGGCACCAGCTTTTAGGGGCACTTTTGGTTAATAAAAATGACGGTTAAAATGGTTAATAAAAATATATATATAGGGACGGTTTGACTCAGGGACCGCCGACCGCAGAACATTTTTCGTATTTCTTGGGCTTCGTACTGCTATGGGGTCCGGGGGCATGCTCCCCCGAGAAAATTTTGAGATATAGGCCTCTGAAATGGCCGTAAATCCCTCTCAATTTAGGGATTATTGGGAAATAGGAGATACTTTTTTCTTTCTTTTCGCTTCCCAAAAAGGCTTTTTTTTTCACAAAAAGGGCACTTTTGTTCCCTTGAAAAATCTTGGGGGGGCACGTGCCCCCAGTGCCCCCCCCTTCCTACGCCACTGATCAGAATTGCTTTACAACATGCTTTCTTTACAACTTGCAATGTATTTCTACTCGTGAAGATTTCTAAAGTTGTCAAATACGAACATTTGTTACGATCTGCTAACCGGAAACGTTTTCTTAGCATTTCGAACACTCTTTACAAATAATTAATCCCTCAAAATTATAATTGCATAGCATTGATAGCAAGTTTCTATGTAAGTTTCTTAGTGTAACAGCGCCTTTAAAGTATAATAGAGTAAATGTAGCCTATAATGACTTACATACGATTTATTGCAAATTTCTTTCTTAGAAACAATATAGGTTCTGCTATTTGGTAATAATGGCTTACCAGGATTCCTCTGCATGTGTGAAGACGTAAACCTGGCCGGTCGAGGCGGGACGCATAAAATTAATGTGAATCCCATATATCGATAAATGTCAGTTGGAATTCCTAATGGTTCTTTAATATAGCTACTGTAGCTAATTTGGGGCTTTAAAAATTATGTAGAAATGAAAGGAAATCCTGCCTAGCCTAAAACAGTGATATAATAAAACCCGCAACGCTATAACTTGCCCGCCATCTTTGAAGCCAATTATGAGGATAGTTTTTGGTTATGGTTATCTCAGGTATGGTAGAGCACCTAGTGTCCAGACTCTTTACTTTTATTGCGCAGTCACGTTTATCAAAAAGGTGGCAATAAATGACCACTAAACCGTTGATTTTTTGAACGTTTGAGTAATTATCCAGAAACGTCTATAGAACTGTGTGAAATACGTACAATGATTTGCTAATTTTTAGAAAAATTGAAACAGAGTCACAAACTCAGTTTTTTGCTTAAATTTCTGGCTTCAACCAAGCTAGTATTAACACGCTGAACGTACTATAGGCGTTAGTGTTCCAGTTGATATATTACAGTTCACTGGCTATTTTTCTTGTATTTCCGTACACTAGACATACCGTAGTGGGTATATAGGTATTAATTTTCTAAATATTTATACTAGCTGTTATAATACATTTATATTAATTGTTATAATTTATAAATTTCAATTAGTGATTTGGGGTCATAGGCACTTTTGATAATATGATATATATATGCTAATATAATATGATAATAATGATAATGATAATGATAATAACAATAATAATATTAATAGCTGATAAAGAACTATAAATTAATATTAATTAATTTCCTAAATAATATATGTCACACTATCGTAGCTTTATAGCTTAATTAGCAAAAACAATAAATCTTAGCTTAATGAAGTTCATGCTATCAGAACTAATTGCAAGTACATAAAAAACTTCTGGGGAACAATTAGTTACAAAAGTATAATACCAGCCCAATTACAGGTCAACCCATTGGAGGACTTCATTAATTATCCAATTCCATCTCACAATATACATAATTGAAAATGTCAATCTAATTCCTTCATCCACATAAGAAAATAATATGTTTTCAGTAAAACATTTGCCCATTTGACAGACAGAATTCGCAAACCACAATATATGGTTGCTTCCCACTACCATATGGTGATTAATTAGTGATTAATACAGTGATTATGCTCTACTCTCATTTTATGCTCCACTTTTCTGACCAATAACAACCATTGGTATATAACATGTGACAAATATGAATTTGTGAATTACTTGGACATGTCACGTACAGCCGTTTCAATCACCACACCCTTAGGTAGGTATTGAAAAATACAAATCCTCTCCGACATAGCAGAACCAGGAGCTGGCCATAGGAGGCCTAACATGTGTCGCGCACACTACTGATTTAAATAATTATTATATAGGACTCTGTGACTTACCTTAACAACTGCAGTGTCATGATGAAACATATTAAATTGACCTTGTCCAACAATTTCTTATCAAGCCTGTATTTGTTTTAACTGCTGAACTGAAACTGATAATTCTGACAAGTTTTATTGCTCAACTTTATATGCTTTGTATTCTGTTTATGAAACAAGCTGCTTTAAAGAGCTTTTTATACAAATGCCAAGATTTTAGACCATGAATTCCACGTAATTTTCACTTTTGCAATCAATAATCAAAACTTGAAAAGGGAAGAACGTCCAGCGGCAATCCATGTTGTAAACAAGAGAAAATCGAGCTGTGATTGGCTAAAGAGATCTGATCGGCCAATCAAGTGGCAGCCATTATTCAAACGCGCCCGCGCTTTTTTTAAAAAAATGAAACTTAGAAGTTTGAGAAAACGAAGGGGATATTATCATTATTATTGTTAGGGGTTTGTGGTTTCTTTTATACTCACTAACCTTTATTATCATGGTTGTATTGGTGATATTTTTAAAATACCATTTTATATTATCTATCTCTATCCACCTTGTGAACAACCAGCCCAGCCCTGGTGATTGCACCCACCCATAGCTGGCTGGTGGCCTGCATCACAGGGTTGCCTGATTACTGAAAAAAGAAGCCAAACATTGTTGTAGTTGGCCCTTTGATTTCTTTGTTTCAAACAAAGAAAACAACGATTATGGTAATAATATTTGACCAATTTATTCAGTAATCTGAATAAATTATCTGAATGCATCACCTCCTACAAAGTCACACTGAATTCACCCTGACCTACTAGGGTAGTAAAGTCTAAAAAATGCCTCTGGAGCAGCATGTTTTTCTGTTACAAGTTCTTTACATTACTGTCTTGAACTTTTCAGTATTCTTGCACAGGGCATGCATAGGAAACATCCAGAGATTGGGAGAGGTGGGCACCAGCTTTGAAGGGCACCTTTGGTTAATAAAAAGGGCAGCTAAAATATGTATAGGGAGGATGGTTTGATTGCCAAAACTGCAAAGACACCACTAGTGTGGTTTATATTTATGCTCTGCAAAAAGATTTGTGCACATGTAAGTGGGCAGACTTAGGTAACAAAAAGGGCACTTTTGGTCCCTTAAGACCTATATGCTACTGTTCTTGCAGAGCCAAATCTTCAAGTGTTGGGTGTTTAAATAGGGTAACTAATTAGTTATAAAGCACACCCTTAAGACACTATCAGTATTAAGCAAACCTAGATATAATTGAATAAATGATTTTTGAAAATAAATTCAATTTTCTAAATTATTCATCATGTAAAAAAATAATAATTGCAAAGTGTTAAATCAAGGTGGAAATATAAATCTATAATCTGCTGCAGCCTTAAAAATTCAATTTTTGACAGCCCAAAGTATTAACTTTAGGCACAAGTTGAAAGTTCAAAGTATTTAAACAGGAAAGATTGCATGAAAAATCTAAATATATGGACCAATAGTAATTCTAAGTACTGAGGACACAAGATATATATAAGCAGTTCATATTGATTATTGTCATTATTACCAAAACAAATTTGTTCAATGTCACTCCAAAATTATTCATACAACAACAGCAGTGTGTGCATATCTTGCCTCAGACATTTCTGGTAGTTCTTCCCAAGAATACCTTTCAAAATTGAAACCTTCAACTGACTTTAGTTGCCCTTGGTCACTCCTTCCTCCAAGGACTACAATGTTGTTCTTGATAACAACTGCTGTACATCCCCACCTCCCACAAATCATTGATGGCAACATGATACTTTCTTCCGTCTTGACATTGTACATGATAACTGTATCCAATGTCTTGGCTTGTTTGCCAATGCCACCAATAACAATGATGCTGTCTTCCCATCTCACAGTTGCCATATCACTCACTTCATATGGCAATGGTGACAACTGTTTTAGCTCATTCTTCTTTATATTGTACAGTATGACACTGCTGTGGCGACGCTTCCTATTGCCAGTTGTACTTCCACCAACTATCAACAAATTGTCATCGAATAATTCCATGCTGTGATTTTCTCTTTGTTCTGGCATTCTTGATAAGGTCTTCACGGTATAGGGAGGAACAAGCTGGACTGATCTAATTAGGTCAGATGAACTATTTCTGTTATAACCTCCAGAAACTATCAACATATCATTATACACCACACTGCTGTGGTATGCTAACTTATCAGGTAGTGTAACCGGACCGTTATTCCAGTCTTTTGAATGACCAGGGTTTGGGTGAATATTCATTCTAATCATATCATCAACAATGTCAAGTAAACCACAGTCACCGCCTGCTATAGTAATATGATTGTTATAAATGAACGACGTCGCTCCCTCACGATCCTCTGGCATCGATTGTAATGGCGACCACATTCTTTGACGCCAGTTAAACATCTCTACTGAATTATTTTCTGAACCTCCAGCAACAATTATATTTTCCTTGTGATTACCCTCCATCGTGACGAGAAAGTCTTTCTTTATGAATCAAAATTAGCTTCGGTCAAAGCCGTTTTGCATTCAACAAATTGTTCTCCGTAGCCTTGTAAATATGAATTCAGTTCACGTCGTTCTTTTGTTGTAATTTGCTGTTGCCCGTGTTGGTGATAGTCTGAGCATAGATTCAGTGTATGTTTCTAGATTCTTGATCAAGTATCTGACACTTCCGTACAATACCATTTGACTTCTGATGGATGTTTTATATTCTGTTTTCACAGTAAACTGGATCCGATAAAACTGGATCGTGGGAGCAAATTACCAAAAGCAAGAAACCAAAAGCCAACAAATTCTGATTTGCGATTTGTTGGGACTAGTACTAAGGTTAATACGGAGATTTATAAACCTCGTGCGATTTCCTTGTCTCCCTATTTCAATCATTTCTCAGGAATGTACAGGATAATTATTAAGAAAATATAAGTTTAACTGAATCAATTTGACAAATTACACGGCGTCTGGGCGTGTCCCTCTATTCTTTTTGACCCAACCGCCCCAAAGGCCCAACCCTTTTTGACCCTCCACTGCGTGTCCAGTCATATGCCTATTCTAGTAAATGAAGTTTCGCCGGTTCGCCCGTTGCATGTACCTGTTACAGGAATAGGTAACTACCCCTCCATGAAGTTTACAAAAATAAAAGTCAAAAACCTTGTCAATATAATTTCCCATATGGCAATCCGAGTTTTCTAAAATTTTCCAACGGATCAGGCAGCCCAGAAATGTTTTCGTTCTCGTGGCCCTCGCGCGTCATAATAACACACCGAGTAGACTCGCGTACACGCGCGAGCGCCACAAGAACGAAACCGTTTCTGGGCTACTATGGTTTCATCTTCTCTCGGGAAGACATTCTTCCGTTGCTATTTGTTTGTAAAATTTACGCCTAATAAAACTTGGCTTTTCCAATCTAATACAAGCAAAAGCTAAGCCCGTCCCAGGGCCAGAAAGCAAGACACACCCCAAATACCTTTCTGGGTGCATGTGCGCCCTGATTGAAACTCAAAAGAGAGATCACTACGTATTATTGATTCCAGACATATCATGCGCTGCTGCATTGGGCCAAATTGGATATCAAACTTTATTCATAGCGGCCGGGGTAGTAGTTCTTGCAAATTATTCATTAAAAAACTGAAGTTTAATCTATTTTTTGTTGGATTTTGGTCCCGTTGAATTTAATTCAAACAATGAGATAAATTATGTTTATGACAGTGGTTCAAATTTAAGAACGTTTCCCCTTTCGTGTAGGCTCATATTATCAGCGGGTGTCTTATGTAAAATAAAGGCCAATAGGTTAAAAGCAAAGATTCTTTGTATGCCGTGAACTGTTGAATTTGACGCAATCAAAATCAACTGTTGAAATTGAATTTGACACAATCAAAATGCAACGAATAAACTTAGCCTAAAACTACAGTAGATAATAGTGGTACAATAATCAACCCTCTCAGTGATACAATTCGAAGACAAAACAGTGTTAAGACTCGAACCTAAGAGTCTTTCAATAAGAATAAGCACATGCATGCAGAACGAGTTAGTGTATAGCCTTACTTTATTGAAGAAAAAGATAATTATTATACGTCCATAATTTTTAAACCATGCATTTCAGTTCTCGGTTTCAATACAGAAAAGGTTCATTAATAATAAAACAATAATGAACTGTATTAATGTGTATTAATGGTATACTCTTTATATGTTCTATAATTGTTTTTCTTTTAACTCGATATGATTAACTAAACGAATATATTAACTATTTTATATATAACATATAATAATTTATTTAAAAATATGTATATGCTCTGCTCCCTTCAGGCTATACAATTCAAATTCCGTTAATTATATGCGCGTACACGTAAAAAATGCGCTCTAGGAGAGCTTATAATTACTAATACATAAAAATATTTTTTATACATGCAGTCTCACAATGTCCATTTTTCATACGTGTCTTCACCGCCTTCTTCTTGATGGTTTATTTCCAGCTGTTGGGCGTCTCTGGAGTTTGTGAGCGAAACTCTCCCGGCAAATTGGGCATCGAGTTCTGTGAAAAGAAAGAAAAAATAGTACAATTATGCCTTTGATTAACGGAAGCGTTGTCGGACATGCACATTTAAAGTAAGCGTCTGGCTTTTTCAAAGTACCGTATACTTTAATTCACTTTTTGTAGAAACATCAAACAAACAACAAACAAACATACAGTAGATTTCCCGTTTCTATAGCTTTGACCTCCGATCCTCCTCATTTTAACAAAAGTGCTAAATTAAGATTATTTGTCTCAATAACTTACAATCCGCTTTGAATCATCTGGGTGGAGCATTCTTTGTGAACTTTGTGGGAACATGGAAGGATCTGGCAGCCCGTGAATGCATCCTGCAAAAAAGGTACAGTAAAATTATGATTTCAAAAGCAGTTACCACCTTGCCTTGCCCGTAGATCTGTACTAGTAGCTATAGAAAACCTGAATTATAGATTCAACCTTTGTATATCATTAGAAATTATTGAAAATATCAGAAAATTTGCCATGGCCCCATTTACACTACATTTATGGTTTATTGGCAAGTCAGAGCTAAAATGGGTATCCGTGCCCAGCCTTTGATTTGGTAGCCTGAGCACTAATACAATTTGGCACAGGTCCAATTAATTGAGTGTGGTGTAAACGGGTTATTGCATGTCTCATAAGATAATCGTGAAAAATTACCTCCAAGCAGATACCGCAAACATCATGAGCGGAATCTGGACGACATTTATGATTTCCTCTGAGTTGAACATCAAGACAAACACCACAGACGTCACAATGATATGAACGATCTCCGTGGATCCTGCAACATCAAGTTACGATGAAATTAAGTGTAATTATTCAATTTAGTATGATTGTTTTAACCATCAGTAGCCAAAATTCATACCTGCAAATTCCACATTTCTCGCAATGATAGGGATGATCATCTCTTCCAGTAAGATGTTTGCAAATTCCACAGTAAAAATCAGCAAATTGAGTGTTACACGAAACACAAAATTGACCATTTTCACCAAACTGTTTAAACACAACATCAAACGAAAATATTAGAATATTCGTACTTGTAAAAATTAACATTTAAAATCACCAGCGAACCGATAATTGAAAACAAGTTAAATCTGAATTCTGATATACTCATTGAGAGATGATATTTCACTATAACTACATGCAATAGAAAATCTTCACATCTTTCAACAGCGGGTTTCTCTCAACGAGAGCTTGCGCTGAGTAATATGGACTACAAGAATATCATTTCACTTGTTACCTGTTGTTCTTTTCCGCATTCCATGCACTTGACCATCGTCGTATCACGTGATTTCAGTTTCTTTTGCTGGCACGTGCTCGTCTCGTTGTGGCAACGATGGCAAGCCCAGTATTTATCACAGCATTCAAATTTCACCATACAACGTCTTTTGTAGTGATTACACAACCATCTCTCCTCTCTTCTTCTATCACTATGTGAATAGGAACGATCATTTTCGTGAGATGTTGATGGATCGTTGTATTCTCCAGAAGGATCTCGGATACTAAGCTGTGTAGCAGACTGTTCAGTTCTTGAATCATCTGCAATTCCATTACTTGCTCTTGTGGTCGTTTCAGTTAAATTTCTTCTTGAACTATTTTCACTACCTGGATTTGGATGAAAAATATGAACTTCATGTTCAAGTCATGCTATTGCTCTCTATAACTTCACTGCATTTATACGCCAGTATACTTTGAATTAGCATTCTTAACAATTCTACTGATTGGTTAAATATTCCTTATTTTTGCTCTCTTTGAAACAAAAAGTTGCACGTGTTTATATAGGAGAATATCACTGAAAAAACCCGGTGATATTCCCCGACCCTAAGGCGAATGATTGTTTTAGTATGATTATAAAGGAGACTATTTGAAAGGAAACGATCTGTTGAAGAAAGTACATTCTTCACAAGCGTAATAAAACGTCTGGATGATTTTTTTTCAATTTTCATCTTGCACTTTAAAAACTCGCCGCCATTTTGAAAAATTCGCTTAGGTGATTATTGCGTAATTATCTGAAGACGCTCGACCAAATTTCAAAAATCACCTTTGTAATTATGCTAGCGACAATTAACATACCTGAATATTAGATTTATAATATTATATTTTGGTGCTCAAAAATATGTTTAATTCATACCTCTTGTTTCTCTCGTGGAACGACGATCGGCAATATCTTCAAACATAGACGATCTATTATTTCTTCTTGTATCAGTTGCGCTGTTTTGAGGATAATTAAGTGGAGGACCATTTGCAGTGTCATATTGATTACTGCTATTCGATACTTCTCGTTGTACCGGTAATCTTGGAGGATACGAATTTGTTGGGAAAGTAGTAGAAGAGCGTCCATGATGTAGATTGCGTTCCCTCGCGTTTTGAACGAGCCTTTCTTTAATTTTAACAATCATCTGCTTCAAATTAGCATAATCCCCGCAGCAGTATTGTTGGATGAGATGTGCTAAATCAAATCTCAGAATTGACTCGAAGAACATGCGTAGTGCACTCAGATTCGTCGGATTGATAACACCTTTCCGATCCAATTGAAACATGGCTTCGGTTGCGATAAGATTCGTTTCAACCGCAAACTGTTCGTGAGCCCAAACTTTTAGTTTAAAAACATCATTGGAGAGCAAACTGTGGGAAATAGCTAGCAATAATTGTTTATATGAATTGTTATATTGGGGCGTGGTTGATAATTGGTTGTTCTCCCCGCCGATAGGTTCCATGTCATTTCCTTCTACTACTTGGAGAGGGTATTGTATAGATTCGGGTGGAACGTTTCCTTCATTTGAACGATCACTGCTGGATCCAACATGGTTAGTTCGACTATGATTTGGGGGTATTATTTCTGTGTGATTATTATCAATCCCTGACGTGACCATTTCTTCATTGGCGTTCCTAATTGGCATACTAGGATATATTTTTTTAAATTTTTCGATATCTTTTTCTTTAGTAATTTTGGAATCCATCTCGATTAAAAGTCTTCCATTTTCGAATAAGAGATCTTTGCTCTTCTTTTCTGTCTCACGACACATTCGTTTTAAACCTAATATTTCATTCTCTAAAAGGCCCCTCTCTTCCCGATTTTTTTCAAACAAGTTATTTTTTTCCCAAAGTTCGCGTTTTAGGAATTCATTTTCGTTCATCAACTTTTCATTTTCTAATTTTGTCTCGTCGTAAAGTCTTTTAAAACGATCGTCGTTATCGGTTTGCGTGGATTGATCATTCATATTGAGAGCTTGCGGAATGTCAACGCCAGTTGGCATCGACAGAGGTAATATTTTTACAACTGTCAGATTTCCTTTATTGTTGCTTTCTTTTGCCATTATTGGAAAAGAATGACACCTTCTGAGAACGGGCTTATGCATATGTTGCCTGTTTATTGTTCGTTGTTTGTTCAGTTGATATTCACTGTGCAAAGTGAAAACGTTTTTCTTAGAATCTTCAAGATTATGAGAGTTAGCAACAAAGATTACCACGGGCGAAATATGAGAAGCGTTGTTGTCTGTTAGCTCAATAGGCAAACTCGACCGTCTTTTGTTCCTTTGCGAAACATGTTGAGAAGAAACATCAAAATATAAAAGAATGTCATGACTAGGCAATTCGAAAAAAGTTGATTGATTATGCAAGACATAACTCAACATGACGTCATTGCGGTTATGATTTTGCTGACGTAAGTCTGTAGGGAATAAATTTTGCCGTTGCGTCAGCAACAATTGTTGCTCCGAGCCATTCGAGGTGAGGATTATAACCAATGGAATCTTCAACTTATTTTTGTACCACCATGGAAATAGTTTAAGCAGCTCCTTTTTAATTACGCATAGTATGACCTTTCCACCGCCAGGATCACCAATAAGTTTCACATCATTTAATTGACGCGTTAATAATGGAGCATTTATTACAAATATCCTTTTACCATCCTTGTCGCCATCTGGTAAAATTTCATTCAATTCCGGAGTTTCTGCCATACTTGCCATGTCCTTGGAAAAGATCTATGCAAAAAGCAATTTTATGCAAGGTTAAACAATTACATCTAGCATGAGGTTATTATACCGTAGATATTTTTACAAAAAATACGTATGTATACAAAAACATACGTGCAAAAAATTAGCCGCGGCGGCCGGCATCAGCGACCAGTTTCGAATCACTGAACATGCGCTAAATCGGCGGTACTGGTAATACGTGCAAGTAGAGGCCAGCCTCAGCCTTCAGGGTCAAGTGGAAGCATATGCGGGGCGGGATTGACACAACCCAGAGTGTGTGCATATTTTCGTTCGTCAGCAAGTCTAGAACCATCCTTATTAAGCTGTATTTCAATATTTTAATAACACTCCGGAAATATGCATATTTTGGGTGAGGAATTAAGCCCTGTGACAATTTTGAGCTAGCACTTCCTTTCCTCATATTTGCTCTTGGCTATTTATCTCTTACTTCTCGAGGCCAAGGCGAAATACTTTGACGATCATTTGAAAAACGGTAAATTTCCGCTTACACCATATGACGTAAATTGCTGACCGAACATAACTGATAACTTGCAATCCAACAACTTCAATATGAGTTGTCAATTTTTCACCCTGATGTGTTTATGATTCCATGCAATACCAATATCTTACATCATGCCAAGACATTATTCAGAGTTGTACGATATTATTGCGCACATACATAGTTGGAACATCCCATACAAGTCGCGCGATAACCTACCATCAGGATTTCCATACCAAAGGGATTTCTACCTAATCTACCTCTGGCCGCAACGTGGACGGCGAAGCGTAGGTAGAAAAGGTAATCGCGTGAGCGTATTGACCTTCTGTGGTCTCGTGCATGCGTCAACGCATATCAACAATTTTATTAAGTCAGCAAAAAAGTAAATAAAACAAGTTCTGCATGAAAGTGTGCAAGTTATATTATATGGGTTTTCCCGTCGTTTTGAATTTTGATAAATTGTTTCACAAGGCAGTTTTGCTTTAGATGAGAATAAAATGGATACAACGGCATTGAAATAAATTTTAACAATTTTAACAATTTCCATATGAATAACAGCCCTTCCAGAAATAACAGCCTTTATGAAATGGGAAATAAGTTAAATTCCTTTCGCGTTTGCATGGTCGGAATCTCGGCGGTGTCATAGTGACATAGAAGGAGTGATCCTTCCTTAAATTGAATATCTCTGCAAGTATTTGGGCTAAAGATGCAGGAATACCACCAAACGATAGCGCTTGAAGAGCTCATATAAATAGTGTATTCAAATCGGGAGATAGCGCCAAAATACTAGAGAATGAGCCTTTCACTTTGTAAAGTTTTAAGCGATACACGCTAAAAAATCGGCAAATCTTCTAAAGGCTCGATTTTTAAGCTAAAGATATCACAATAATCCACGAATTGTGTAACACTGTAGCTCTGTAACACCGTAACCGGTTTTCCATTGCGTTTATGGGCAACATTCTAATAATAATAGGTCATCTGATCGACGGCAATAAGTTTTATACAGCTATTTATAGTCTGTGTTATTTTGAGCAAAATATGAACACATACAATAGTGTTCAAAATAACACTTACTGGAGTTACATAAAATAATACAAATAACTGAGTGTTCAACATTATAAGCTATACATGATACGATAAGTAAAATTTATGTCAGTAATTGCCTTGCCTACCTTATATAAAGTCAACACTATAACAGACTTATTTATCCAATTATCCTGTGCTGTAGTATATTCTTCTATGTAACACTGATTCACCGAAATACTCTTCGCTGTATTTTAAACTGCTATCTCTATTGCACTTGTTATTGAAATTGCACTTGTTTATATATGTATGCAAGAATCGATCGGTATTTGCATACGCATGATTCATAAGCAAAGTGATCGTGATATCCCGCATTCATGGGTTTTTCCCTGTATTTATATACATAATATAACGTAATAGTATATGTAGTGGCATGTCAAGTATCGTTGTTTTGTCAGACCTCCAGCATACTTACAGCTGACTGAATATAAAAACAAACCAATCAGAAGCCAGATCCTCGAGTGAATTAGTTCATAAGCTTATTCGGCAGTCATTACAATAGTCGTCGCTAACACAAACTCGTTTCGCTTGAACTCCTCAGTAACTGGAACTAAATCCGGCCAATTTCTCTAAGATTTGGTAATGTTTTTATAGTAATATACTCCGCTTAACTCGAACTCGCTTAACTTGAACTCCTCGTTAACTCGAACTAAATCCAATTCTCCTTGGATTTGGTAATGTTCTTCTATTATAATAATTTACTCCGCTTAACTCGAACTTCTCGCTAATTCGAACAAATTTTGTTTTCCCTTGGTCGACTATATCCGGTTAACTCGAACTTTGGTTTCGAATCATAGTTCAGCAAACTTTAAAATGTGAGAAGATAGTATTTTAACATCAAAACAACAACAATTAAAATCGGTGTATGTAACTCCCGGTCGCAGAATGCAAGAGTCCCAGGTTAGATGGAGATACAAGTGAGATACTCGAACTAACTTTTAAGGTGTCGCTGTTTTATTTAATCAGTATTTCGTCATTATATAAAGTTTTTTAGCAAATAAAGGCATGAACTGCGGCAATCCAATGTACGTAAATATTAACGTAATCTGACACCAACCTGGTTAACTCGAACTCCCGGTAATTAGAACAATTTTTCTTTCCCCTTGCCCTTGTTGGAAGTTCGAGTTAGCGAGGGAATCATGCAGTACTTCGAAGCTCCACCGATATAACAACATTAGCCTGAATTAGGGCAGAACAACTAAAGCTGAACGCGAATTTGATCCTGTAATTTATTCAAACATAAGAGTATGCAACGAATTGAAGTTAATGAGTTCACGGCAACCAAGTATATAATCCATCCTAATTATCGCTACTCTGGTTTTAATAAATGAAAGTAATCACCACACAAAGATTAACTTTCACGACCCGTGATTGTGTGGTGATTACTTTCATTTATTAAAACCAGAGTAGCGATAATTTGCTTCCACAAAATGGATAAAAATCCTAGTTTTTAAAGATCTTGCGCTGTCCAATGCCTGCAGCAAATTTCTTGATACTTTCATCACAGTATTTGCATACTTACTTACTCACTACATGCTTACTTACACAGGTTTGCTATTTCTTTTAAAATTTAATAGCATGCATAAATACCTGTTGACTGGTTCTCAATTCAAAAGAAAATATGCAAATATTTCGCTAGCAAACGATTTTGCTGTGAGTGGAACTCCGCCTTATGCATGACGCTGTTATGATTCTGGGTGGGTTGTATAAAAACGTAGTTAGCGCTAACTGCAGTTAAAAAGTAGTTAAAAAGTAGTTAACATTACCACGTAGTTAAGCCAGTTGTATAAAAGTGTAGTTAGCCTTAACCGGGGTTAAATGTAGTTAAAGTTACTATCTTCAAGGGCATCGTTAAGTTCCAAATCGTAGTTAAAAATGGCGTCTTGAGCTTTTGAGGAGTGAGAAAACCTTAAAATCAACACATATACAAAGGTTGTCAACCGTTATCCAGTCAGAAAAGGCCCCCGTCGAAGCTTGTAAACTTTCAATATGCTTTTGCTTTTTTCATTTTGGCAGCAACAGAGTATATTTTTGCTTTGGGAGCCTTGTCGATGCCAAATTACGATCCTAGCAAAGATATAAAGCCATCTCCATTTTCAACTGCAACCGGTATAGTTTGACTCAAAGGACCTTTTTATATTATAATAATTTCGTTGAATTATTATAACTTTCCCTGTTTTATTGCAAATTTTTCCTATATTTTAGAACATAATACTGTAAATTTTTCTAAATACGAGTTCACAGTCTTGTTCAAAATCAATTATAGCGGTCGAAGTCAATAATTTCAAGATACTTCATGCTCATTTTCTTTCTTTAACAACACCACGCAAGCTCCACGTAAGTTAACTTTGTGATTAGTTAATTTGGAGATTTAACTTTAGTTTGAATGACGTTTGAAAATATATATAAAGATGCATCCTTTCTCATCAGGATCTAGATTAAGCCATGTCCTAATTTGGTCACTAACTACTTTCAACAAATTATTGTTGAAACTATTAATTATTATTACAAACTGTTCTTCCGTTTTCCGCAAGTCACACTCGACGTGCAATATAAATTATACTGAATATTTATATAGTTGTGCTTTTATTTTGGGTTTGTGCAAAAGAAGACGTCTTTGTTATTCTCCTGAACAAATTGTTTAATAACAGCGCGCGGCAAACAAATGAGGAATATCAGGTAGCTATATAGGTAGCTGTTCACATGAGCGCGGTAACCCGAAATTTTAACGAAGCATAAATTAAATGACTTTCAGGTATTGAAATGAGTAAATAGCATGATCCTGGTAGTCGTGTAATCATATTCTAATAATAGCATGTGATTCAGTGTTTTGTTTTAGAAAGACTTATTTTAATACATCCAACTCCTCTCACGTTCCGTTAAATCTCGGAACTTTCCATGACTACAGGAAGTACAAGTAATAATTATGGTAACCGTGTATTTATAGATGAAAACGCAATTCCTTATGTTTTTTAATGAGGTCGGTTTTTCTTTCGTCGCATCATTTGAAGTGCAAGCTAGGAGCACAGTCCATTCAATGCATGCTGGCGCAATTAGGTTTTAATTTCGATCGTTGGATGGAAATGTCTTTGTAAATTTTCGGTTCATCAGTACAAGTGTTTGAGGACAAAGTTGTCACTGCATAGAAATTTGCCCAAAATAATATCGCTTCGGAAATGAAATGCGGACAGATGAGATTTTTTTGTATAGACTTAGTTGGTGCTACTGTTTTTGCAAATTTGGTGGTGTTAAAATGAGTGGATATTTGTTAAATAATAATATTATACTGTAATTGTTATCATAACACTTAGTCTCACTGAAGTAGCCGTAATGTTCAGTTCAAATTTGGGTTCTTTCTCCATAGTACGAGTGTTGAGAATGTTTAAGATTTGCTAAATGCTTTTAAAATATTCTGGTGATGGATTGACTGTAGATACGCGGTACACTGTACCGTAGTCGTAGATTTACTACAGATATATACATGGAAAATTGGAAATTATATAATATATATAGTGAAGGGTTATTTAATATAAAAAACCCTTAGCAGACAATTTTATGAAATGCAATCAAAAACATACTCCGCAAAACAACATTTTATGATAAAGTGCTCAACTTAATTTATAACTATACATGATATTTGCTTACCTTATATTATATGAAGTAAACGCTAACAAACTTGTACTATCCACGTACGATCCTGTATAAAGTAGATTCCTTTATTTAACAGTTACACCGATTCACAGAAATACTCTTCGTTGTACTTTGAACTGGTAACTCAACAAGATGCGACGAAATCACTGAAGGCAAATGATGAATTGCATTTTACTGTTAGTATTTATACTGCAACCGTGATAAGGGGTTTTCCTGACTATAAATAATCACATGACGTTCATTGATCTTAAAATACACTGGAGTAGCATACCACATTCTCGCTACACAAATAGTCTATATCGCGTTTCAAGCGAGGATGCCCCCAACAGTGCGCAATGCAAACTCGTTCAAAATAAGCGCTTTTTCTGTTCCTGTGCCTTAGAAACTGAAGCTATATACCTTTCACTTACACACGGATTATTAAATTTAGACCTACGCTGCACATTCTTCATTGTTTTTGGCAAGGATTCGTTGTATCCCCGAGTCGGACTTTAGAAGTTGAATGAAGCGGGCTATGTAAGAATATTGGTCAAAAATCGCCGTTTAGAGTTGCGGGAAAACTCCTTGTACTGCTTCCATTATACAATATTTGTTTCCCTTGCACTCGTAATTAAAATCCACACGTTTGGGCGCGTATTTTGATATGAATTTCGTACATAACGTGAATTAGCTTCGGACCGATGGCCTTGAACTGTAGGTATTTTGTGACAATGGTCGACATTTGCATAATATTGTTCACACATTAATTAATGCAGTCTCTGTTGTTGCCTTTGGTGATGTGAACATAATCAGAATGGAGGCCCTACGTTTACTTAGTTACGAGATAGGCAAGCGAGAGAATTTTATATTTTCACCTTGTATTCTTTATTCACTTTAATATAGTGGTGTATACATACCACAGTTGTGTATATTTTGACAAATACTGATAAATGAAATGAAAAATCTGATAAATGCTCTCTCAATATATATTATAAATAGCGTCGCGTCGGGAATGCCACACAGCCTACAGGGTGTTTAAAAAAAACTATTGAAATCACTCATTGTTAAAATTTCATTGCAGTGTTCACGAATTTTAGCTCATGGGGATTTAATGCAACTTGTGTAAAATGCTAAATGCTTTGTGTTGCTTGAGAAAGGGGACATGGCGAAGGTCATGGTGCTTGAGATGCACATTTAAATATTCTTATTCATAATAATTGTAAATTGTGAATATTGTTGATAACTGATATCATTTTTGCGTTCAAACAAATTTTACTGCATCATATGCATGCATAAAAATGCTTATGGCAAACATTTATACACCTATATATGGTGCTCAGGCATTCAAACTCTAACAATTACATTGTTATGCATCGGTGATTTCAATAGTTTTCGTTTTTTTTAAGACACCTTGTACACTGCTACAGTACACATCAATGATTTTCCTATATTGTGTATATAATACAGCTGGAATACTACAAGGGAAATTGATACTGCGCTCAAAACACGAGGTTTTTCATGCTGAAGACACGGGAAATATCTTAATAATTTATCTTTACCATAGCCCACAGGGTCACCATTCATCAA